ACATTCGTTTATTCATTATGACTTTTGTTCAACATTAATTCCGTTTCAATTCAATGTGAAGATTATTCAATGTAGTATTTACTTCTATTTTTCCGAATGACATATGGTTTTGTATGAAATAGGATGTTCTTGTATGATAAATTGACAGGAACTATGCTCAACATGATATGTGGCATATGATTTGTGGTAATCCTGGTGATTTTTCATTTTAATTATTAGTCGAAATGGGTGAACGAATCAATATATAAATGAATGTATTTTTGATTAGACTGGTCATCGTTGTCATCGTCTGTGGCGTTTGAATGAACTACGTTTACGAGTGTATGCTCTTCAATACTCTTCCCGTTTTATCCCTAATTTTTCTTGTCGTTCAAATTATTTACTTGATATTTTGACATCTAACTCATTCAAATGGAGTGAGGAACAAGAGTCATGCTTACGGAATCTGCTAAACTTTCTTCAAAGTGATGTTGTTCTTCGAACGTGATCCCCTAGTGTACATTCTGTGCTTATTGCTGATGCATCACCTGTGGGAATTGGCGCAGTTTTGGAACAGAAAGTTAGACCAGTTATTTGTGTTTCACGTAAACTTACTGTTACTGAACAAGGTTATTCACAGACTCAGCGAGAAGCATTAGCTGTGTTTTGGGCTGTTAAAAGACTTGATAAATATTTATTCGGAAAGAAATTCACTATTTTTACTGATCATGAAGCTTTAAAGTTTATTTATCATCCTGAAAAATCCTTAGCAAGTTCCTCAGCTGCTATGGTTTAACGATGGAGCATTGCTTCGAGTACATATGACTATACGGTTCAGCACAGAAGTGCCAAACTAATCCAAACCTTTGACTACACTTGTCGACAATAATTAGAAGATAGATTTGTTAATACTTCGGACTGTTTGTTAGTGCAACCTTTACCAGTGAGACGTTCAGATCTCATTAAAGAAACTCGCAGACATTTTGGATGTATAATCAGTGCTATACGGAAAGGCTGGACTGCTAATTTGAAACGTAGATAACCTATCTATTATTCGAAGCGCGATGAGCTATCTACTACTCCTGATGATATTATGTGTTTAAATGATCGTGTTGTCATTTCTCCTTCATTGCGTGAATCTGTTCTTGCAGATCTTCATAGTGGCCATTTAGGTGTTGAGAAAATGAAGTTCTTGGCAAGGCTCACATGTTGGTGACCAGAGATAAACGCAGATATATGTCGTACGGCAAACAATTGTGAGAAATGTCATCAGCTGAAAAAGCGGCCTCCTAAGTGGACGCCATGGCCAGTATCTTCTGAGGCCTGGCAGAGAGTTCATGCTGTCTATTGTGGCCCGTTTCTTGGTAAATACTATGCAACAGTAGTTTTTGATTCTTTTTCAAAGTGGCCTGAATTTCTTTTACCACTTCACCAAATTCTGATTTCACAATCTAAGTATTAAGAAAGGCGTTTAGTCGAGAAGGGGTTCCTATGGTGTTACTGACTGATAATGGCTCTCATTTTGCTGCAGATGCAGTCACTACCTAGTTGGATGTTATAGGGTGCAAACATCTGATTACTGCTCTCAGACATACTTGTTCTAATGGTTAATCAGGAAATTTTGTCAATACATTGAAAACTGCTATTGATTCTATTGCCGCCTCAACATTTAATGAGCTGGAGAGGGGGGTAGATACCTTTGTAATTCAATATAGAAATACCAGACAATTGGTGACGAAAGGGACTCCATCAAAGCTATAAAAAGGTAGGATTGTTCAGTCGAATATGAGATGTTTGGAGTCTGCAGAAGTTACATATTATCGTGGAAATGATCTTCGACCATCCACGGGGATTGTTCTGAAGAATGTCGTAAAATCTATGGTGCGAATTATAGATATCAATGAATTAAGTACAAACATGTTGATCAAATACAATTCCAGGGATTGGGTGAGTCTGTTCTAATTTCGACTGTTAATTCTAGTGCTGATGAGTACATTCTAGATAATACAGAGTCATTATCCAATACACTGTCCGACAAACACAGGATGAACTTGATTACAGACATCTGGTCTGCAATTTAAGCTTTGGCCGATGTGGTGTTTGAATGAACTAATGATACCTTTGTACTTGTTGAATACTTGATTTCAAATTCTAAATACAGAACATTCGTTTGTGGTAATCTGGTACTTCTTGATCCGATTACGTTATTTCTGAGATTCTTAGTTCATTCCATAATTCAAATACTCTTGATCATCATATCGTCACGTTTCGATACTAATAAATCTTCAGTTGTAGCAGACTTTGTGTTCTCACTTTTGCGTCGTAGAAATAGATGTGCTTCATTGCATTTCCAAGTACAATTGCCAAGCGCTTCCGTCATAACAATCAGCGAAGACCAGATGTAACAAGTAGCGTTTAATCAAAAGTCTTATCAGTAGAGACTGGAAAACCACAATGAATTTCTATTTGGAGCAAATAGAAGCTTATATGGAACGTCAAGAAAAGCGGGTTGAACGTTCCAAATCCACAATCATGGAAGCATTTATGCAGAAAAGGTGCCTTTCCCGGCAAAACCCTGCCTCTGGTGCATTTCAAATATCGCACACTGGTTCAGCCATCAATGCAATCAACGAATTCAATTTTGATCATGTGTCGGTGAAGATTGAAGGTAATGGGTACCATCCTCGCTTTCTGAGTCATAAATTCATATTGAGTACTAATTCCATACAAAGTTGAAAAACAACCGTCCACTGATCCCATGTTGTCAATGGTGATTTCCGTAGAACGATCAATCTGTCCGGTCAACTATTGTTTGTACTGAACAGTAACTGTCATTTCTCGCTTGATCACTTCAAATATCAGTTTGAAAATCTGTCCTTTCAATTTCTCGGTGATGACAATTAAGTTAATGCTTATGGTCAACCAGATAAAATAAAGATATAGAGACTGAAGTGACAGTTGTGAATCTGGCGAGCGCACACATTAAACTAATCAGTTTCCATCATTACTGGAACTTGTTCATAAGCATTGTCTGCATCAAATCAATAGGCAAACACCAGAATTCAGTCACATCTTCAATATTCAGGTGTATGAGTTGTGCATTTTCTTCATCGATTTTGAAAGTCAAGTAATATTCGAAGAATCATTTCCTAACTATCATTCTTCTAGATCACAGATGATCAAACTGGAGTTGGTTTTGTGTAGTGCATAATATTACGGATTGATAACTTCGATTTGTCTGTTCTCATAAACATCACGATTCATTAGTAGTAACAAGTGAGTAATATTCAATTTATCATGATCGCCTAATGTAAAACCCATTCTGGTCTATAACATATGCTGAGCGAAAGTACCACAGAATTTGTACACTCATCTTTGTGATCATCTGATTACACATAGATTGTGTAGGAACATAGAACTATCCACTAACAGAAAACAGTGAAACCACCAACCATTAGTCAATAAATCATTATGTCACATGAAATCTATGCTCAATGGTTCATGACCTATGTTAAGCACTATGAAGGCTAAAACGTTTCAAATCGAACAATCATGTCAACAACATTAGATATTTTAATATTATCTTATATTTATAATCGACATGAGGTACTTATTGTATAAGATTAACATGGATTTTAATTATGAGATACGTGATTTACAGAAATGTCTACATTTTCATTGATAATACAACGTGATGAAGTACCACTTATTCAGTACGTGCTTCACACATTGACCTTGTAGTAGTGTGTTTAGTTGGTTATGAGATCCAGTATCCTCAAAATAATAAATCGATTGAATGTGGGTTTTTTTCTGGTTACTTTTCTAGTACAAAGCCATCACGAACCTGAAATTACCACTTCATTCGATGTATACGTGTGTACAACCATGCTGGATTTCCATACCAAAGCAATTATCAGATCGTATATGATATAGTTAGTAATCAATATGTTCTATTCCTTCTGACGTAGATCTGCCACATTATTATGAATTCTGTATGATATTGACTATCTTCTGAGGCACGTCGTTGTGCCGAAGAAGTTTCCACGATGTTGTTCTGTCCACGCTATCAAAAGCTTTTTTGTAGTCAATGAAGTTGATGTAGAGTGACAAAATCCATTCAATCGTTTGTTCCACAATGATCCATAGAGTTGTGATTTCGGTCTGTATTTGGTCTATCCTTATGGACTCCTGCCTGTTGATCTCGAAGTTGAGTGTATCTGTCATACTACTGTACTCTTATTTCTGATAAGTTTCATGTTTCGGTTTAGTGATAATTTCAAATAATTTGATCTGTGACAAGGAGAAGATTGAGATCATATACTTTAACTGATACAAATATAAAAACATATGGTCGATGTATTTGCAACAATTTACGTCTACTGAAAATACATGAAAACTCAGTATTTCTCATGTGGTTCGTGTATATCATCAACTATCGTCAGACTATCGTCAATCGGAATTTTTCTGATATTCATACCGACATCTCATCTGTTTTTTGATTGTTAACTGAATAGTTCAGAAGAGTGTACAACGTGGTCAAATATTGTGATTTATTAAACTAGTTGCTATTCTTGTGTCAAGACTTCGTATTGGATAATCTTGCACTGGCTAAAGCTGAAGACAACAAGCTAATTTCTTCCCATCGTAACATCCCAATCTTTCATTTTTTGGGGATTTACTGTGAGAAAATGCGACTAAAATGCCCCCAAATTTTCACTACATCTCCTCATGTTTCTACAGACTATAAAAAGTATCATAGAACCCTACGAATTTCCTCATGTGTGAGAGGTTGGGACATGTTTAGTGCCAATGACAAAATGATTGAAACGCTATGTAATATACAAAAGCCCTTCATAGAAATGTTTTATTACAACAACATACATATGCAGCGATGATTGAAAATGACAATATAGTAATGGGAAATATTTATGTAAGATAGTGATCAAAGTAATTCGGTTTATCAATCAAATGTATGTGTGTCTGTCTGGATGTAAACATTCTGAAAACAATCGTAACAAGAATCAATTCTTCACAACAATTGTCAGCCCATCTCCAGTTCTTAAGAAAGAAATTCGAACAGAGTTATCTTTAGCTATCAATGCATTTATTTCTCTTACACCAACAGTTTTAGGACTGTTATCATTCTCGTCGAGCACGCGCTTCTTCCATATAACCTGAAGAAGAGATTGTAATCAATAGGGTATAAAATGACTCTGAAACAGAAAGATGGTGAATTAGGATGAGTGAAATCTAAAAGCAACGAATAGAAGACAACTCATCTGTAGATTGTTTGATAAGTCAGGTAGAATGTTGCATACACTTTGATTAGAATCTATAAGATAATCAATATTCTACGTCAGATTATTATCAAAATTAAAACGGTAATCATTCATATAACAGGAATCATTCGGAGGCACAATTCAGTAATGTTTAGTTAGCACTATTAGCACAGACCAACTTATAATTCCCTCTACTCAATAACTTCCAATTAGTGGATTAAAGATAATTTATTCATACATATATGTGATAATCTCATTCAATTTAGTTTGCAATATAGGGCTGCTATTCAGCAGAAGGTGTAGAAGTACGGTCATTTATTATTATATTAATACTTCACACTTCATTGAATATGTGGAGTATTTCCAGGAGAATTTATGAAACGTAGAAGCATTTTTAAGGGCGAGATATTTCCAAACAGAAGATTCATTAATAGTCATTAAAAGATCAATTTGACATGAAAACTGACTTCAAATGCATTGAGATACATAAAACATATGCTCGTAAATAAAACAAACTCACATTATCAATGGCGATGATTCCACGAGGTCGTACTAGTTTTAAACATAGTTCATAATAATTACTATAGTTTTCTTTATCAGCATCGATCAGGGCGAAATCGAATGTTTCACTCTCTCCATTATCAATCAAAGTTTCTGGTGGCACAACAGTTCAATTAAAATATATAAAGTTCAGTTACCAAATCAATGAATAGTTTAGGACAAACGTGTTATCAAACTGAACGTACTTACATACATTCAACTGTTATCGAATTCTAACCGAATAAATGTATTCGTTCAACATCATCAGTAAAATCGTTTTCATTGACTAAAAGAAAACTCAAATCAGACATTGTACATGTACCATTCGCCTATTGACAACATCGCAGTGTTCAAACCAACCTCCGACCATGCATCTAACTTGTTGAGTTACATTTATATTTGGTGATTGTAATGTTACATATGTAGGTGAAATACCACGACAACTGAATGTCAGGGTAAAAGAACACAAACTATGCTTAAAACACATTCAGAAATCCGCAGATCATATAAAAAATCCTCTCAAACACATCAGTGATTGCATTACACTCAATACAACCGGATCAAACAATTGATTGCAATGACACAAGAATCCCACAAACAGGTTTTGATTTCCATAAAGAAAGACTAACAGCCGCAGTCCTGCACATATGGGCTAGTCAAGAGAATAATAATAGGAGAGATGGAGTACAATTAGCTGTCCCATAGTAACTGATAAATAATGAGTAAACCTGAACTCCTTATTATACTTAATATATCACTGTTTATCTCGATAGCTCCGGCCAGAAATCTTCTGCAGTTACTGTCGCTCCCAAGCCCGGGTAAAGGATGTTTGGAGATGGGGTCGACAACGCTTTCTTGTAGAAAATATCTTGCTAAAAATACGCCGACCAGATCAAACAAATTGAACCATTCCAACTCTGCCTTGCGAGTTGAAGCAAGAATTATGATGCCTAAGGATGAAATCCGAGATTCATCTGAAGTCACGAGGTCGTTGCTTCTTCTGACAACCAGAGCAACAATTTTTATAGTACATGAAACGTCCAGTCAATAAAGGAGACCAGGAAGACCAGTCAAATAGCAACGGAAATGAGGAGATACAACTTGCAGTACAAGGAATTAGCGAAAGCCTTTAGACTCAAGCTGGACAGCAAAGGCTAGATACGGGAGAGATGCTGTCGTACTCCGAAGAGTAAAATGCTCCTCACACTCAGAAAGTAGCTCTAATGCTGTCCAAAGAAACAGGAAATGCACTTGTAAAATGGAAGTTTTACGGATCCAGAATCATATAAGCATCCTTCAAAACAAAGAAGGAGGGTATTACAATGAATGTTATTCAATGTTATGCACCAACCAATGATAGCAGTGACGACGATAAAGATCAGTTCCACGAGAGGCTGCAATCGATTATGGCGAGGTTCCCAGGAAAGGACCTGACCATTCTTATAGGGGATCTAAACGTCATAGTCCGAATGGACAACACCGGATATAAAGATATCATGGGACGACACGCACTGGGATAGAGAAACGAATATTGGGAAAGATTTCAAATTTATGTGCCTTCAGTGAACTGATCATATGTGGCACAATACTCCTACACAAACGCATATACAAACCCAAATGGATCTCGCCGGATCACAATACAGAGAATCAGACTGATCACATTTGTATGAGTAAATAATTCAGAAAGTCAATCGGAGACGTGAGAACCAGAAGAGGGGCTAACATAGCCTCAGGCACCACCAGCTGGTATTTTCCAAGATGAAAATGAAGCCGATAAACACTGGACAGCTGGAGAAACAGCATTACAAAGGTTCAATACAGCCTTCCTTCGAGATACTAACAAACCCAACGAATTCAAGACAACTCTCAACAACAGGTTCCAATTCTTACAGGATATATTGAAAGATGAATCAACCATGGAGGATAGCCGGAAAGGTATCAAATAAGCATCAACTTCAACGTTTCAGGAGGTTCTGGGTCTCAAGAAGCATCATCATAAGGAATGGATCTTTATGGAAACACTGGACAAGATTCAAAAAAGGAAGAACAAGAAAACAGCAATTAACAACAGACGAATACAAGCTGAGTACATAGAAGCAAACAAACATAAATACGTGGAAGAACTAGCAACAACGGTGGTAAAAGCTGCAAGCGAAGGAAATATGAAACAACTTTATGACACAACGAAGGAATTAGCAGGGAAATATAGTAAACCGGAGAGACCGGTCAAAGACAAAGAAGGAAAGACAATCACGAAGATTTAAGAACAAAGGAACAGACAAGTAGAATACTTCGAGGAACTGTTAAATAGACCAGCTTCATTGAATCCATCGGACATCGAAGCAGCACACAAATATCTTCCTATAGATGTCAATCCACCAACGACGGAAGAAATCAGGATGGCAATCCGAATAATCAAGAGCGGAAAAGCAGCAAGACCCGACAACATACCAGCTGAAGCACTGAATTCAAACATCAAAGTAACTACAAACATGCTTCACCTTCTATTCAAAAAGATTTGGGAGGAGGAACAACTGCCGATGGACTGGAAAGAAGGACACTTCATCAAGATTCCAAAGAAAGGAGACCTGAGCAAATGTGAAGACTACAGAGGCATTACACTGCTGTCAGTACCAGGAAAAGTCTTTAACAGAGTTTTGCTGACCCGGATGAAAGATGCTGTAGACGCCGAACTTCGAGATCAACAAGCTGGATTACGTAAGGATTGATCATGCACAGACCGAATTGCAACACTACGGATCATCGTCGAACAATCAGTTGAGTGGAACTCATCACTATACATCAACTTCATTGATTATGAAAAAGCATTCGACAGTGTAGATAGGAGGACATTATGGAAACTTCTTCGACACTACGGAGTTTCTGAGAACATTGTCAACATTATCCGGAACTCATACGACGGACTACAGTGCAAATTCGTGCATGGAGGACAGCTGACAGATGCATTCCAAGTAAGGACCGGAGTCAGACAAGGCTGCTTACTCTCTCCCTTCCTCTTTCTTCTGATGGTCGACTGGATTATGAAGACCTCGACATTTGAAGGAAAACGAGGAATTCAATGTACAGCTCCAAATCAATTAAACGATTTGGACTTCGCAGATGACCTAGCCCTCCTATCGCATACACATGAACAAATGAAGATAAAGACAGTCAGTGTAGCAGTAGTCTCTGCACCAGTAGGCCTCAACATACACAAGGGGAAAACCTAGGTCCTCAAATTCAAAGCGGAGAACAGCAATCCAATCACTCTTGATGGAGAAACTCTGGAAGATGTAGAATCCCTCACATACCTGTAAAGCATCATCGATGAACAAGGAGGTTCAGATGCAGACGTAAAGGCGAGGATTGGCGAAGCAAGGACATCATTCCTACAGTTCAAAAATAGATGGAACTCAAAATACCTTTCAACCAATATCAGAGTGAGAATCTTCAATACCGACGTTAAGGTAGTTCTAGTGTACGGAGCTGAAACTTGGAGAACGACAACAACCATCATCAAGAAGTTACAAGTATTTATAAATAGCTGTCTACGCAAGATACTCAACATCCATTGACCGGATACCATCAGCAATAGCCTTCTGTGGGAGAGAACAAACCAACTTCCAGCTGAAGAAGAAATTAGGAAAAGACGATGGAAATGGATAGGACATACATTACGCAAATAATCAAACTGCATCACAGGGCAAGCTTTAACTTGATATCCTGAAAGGAAGCGGAAAAGAGGAAGGCCATGAAACACATTACGTCGGGAAATAGAAGCAGATATGAAAAGGATGAATAAGAACTGTAAAGAGCTGGAAAGGATTGGTTGGGTCACTGTTGGATGGACAATGCTGGTGAGCGGTCTATAATCCTACACGAGGAGTAACAGGAGTAAGTAAGTAAGTTAGATTATCAAGATAATAACAATCACACTCAACTGTTCTAATCACCTGTCTCACCTGAATATGATAAACGATTAAGTGGGACTGCAAAACAACACAAACATTCACTCATTTATTTATTGTCTATTTATCTTCATTTGATGCATGCTGTGACAAATTTCACTCATACCATACATGAAAACTGTATGCTTATCTCTAAAAATTCCCCAATCACAGGCGATGAATAATTCTTCAAGTTTCTCAGTATATTGTTGTGAAGATTGTTGAGTTTTGATTTAGATTATGAATCGGTTGATGTTAGACCACCACTGAAAACCTGAAAGCACTGGACGGCCGTTTAGTCATAATATGGAATTCCACATACCGATGATTACCATGTGCTCACTAGTTACTAGCTTCGCGAAAGAATTCTCGGAGTTCTGCTTAGAAGCCGTGACCATTGAAGTTATTCTGTGTCGGGTAGAGACAGGTATCTACCTCAGTGCAATGGAAGATGGTCGAGTGATTTCGTGGATTGATTGAAGTTAGACATTAATACCGTTGGATGTCGGCTCAGTGGTCTACGGGTTGAGAGTTCGTGCACGAGAGTGGAGGTCCTGGGCTGCATTCCCGCGTGTGGGATTGTGGGTGCGCACTTATGAGTAGTCCCGTACAGAGACAAGACGGTCGTCCAGTGCTTCCAGATTTCCAGTGATGGTCTTACATCCATCGATTTACGATCTCAATCAAAATTAATTTAGAAATAGTCATTTCCTGTCAAAATTCATGATTTCAAATACTGTGAATTTATTACTTCAAATTTAGACGAAAATTCTCATGTAAATTGGAATTATTTCAGGAAGTGTAAGGCAATCTAAACGAGACCTGATTATATTGTCTAGTGCAAAAATTATAGCTTCTCACAGAAATAATTTGCATTATAGGAGGGAACATCATCAAAACATAGCAATAATGTACTTAGAACTAATGAATATACAGACTCAACAAACTGGTCAGCATTAGCTAAATGTACAACTGGCTAACTCATAAAATATTTGAACCAAGGAATATCAAAACCGATATCAATGAAAAAGGTCTGCAGTTCAGTCCCTTGACATTTAAGTGATTTAGATCACTACACTAATACTTATTAATCAGAAGATTACCTAAAGATTCCGTCCACAATAACCAACATTACATTATTTTCAACTATCTTAAACAGAAACGTAGCATGAATCCTCCATATATTATCTTTTTCTATAATCAATCAGATAGTACCGCTGACACTAGAGAACACATCAGTAACACGATGGTAAAATGCATATGTTCGCGGATATTCTGCGTTAAAACACTGAATGTTCATCTGTTTTTCGTATTTCTTGATAATAATATACCACACTACATTGTCAAACTTACGTAGTGTTTGAAGAGCTGGACCGAGTCGGAAGTCAATTTTCGATTCTACACCTGCCTTCTTCCATACTGGTAAACAATAGTCTTTCAAATATTCATCTGTTATGTCCAAGGCTACTACACGTCCATCTGATGGTAATACTTCCGCCACAGACAATGAACTATATCCAGTATAAACTCCTACATTCATTTTAAAATAAATGGAAACACATCTGTTGATAATGACTAGTCGTTTAACTGATGTACATTGAACAATAAAAAACAGTAAAATTATCACACTAAAATCTTACTCACAGTGTCGCCTAACAAAACAGTCATTAGCTTAACAAATATATCTGAAACCAATTATTAATGAACCCAACAACCCAAACATTTGTGAAAGTCAAAAATCCCAGACATAATTGATTATCATTAGTAAGGTTTCTATTCATTTCATCAACCACATTCATAATCAACAGGCCTGTGATTTGGGAGAAACGTCCACAGATTCTGGATTAATCTAATAATCCGGTATGCGAATGGACACGAAGTAGCTGTTTCTACATTCATTTCATCTTGATGCTTCGAAATTCGCATTCACTACACAATAGTATGCATTTGTATAGAGACAGGTTCATGCGCTACTCACTACTGCGTTACACGTTTCAGAATACTCATTATTTGCTCCTGTAAATAATACAGTGTCTGATTTCTCACACTTTCACGTTAACAATCATTTCTCTCAAGAGATTGACTACGCTCATGTGGGACGTCGCAAACATGTCGCATTCCACTACCAGTCATCATCCAACTCTACTTAGAACCAGTGACTCAATGACGATATTGATGCAATCTGTTAACAAAATGTTAAAACCAGACTGACCAATTACAACACTCAACATCAACAACGGCTAAATAAAAACTATTTCAAAATAAAATTCACAACCGTCGAACAAGCTACTGACTATTTGGAATCAATTCATCAGTGGATCACGTAATGATGCTTGAAAGGAAAGGTACTAGCTTCGAATTACCATGCAAATACCAATAACACCATGCAAATTCATCCACCTGACCACTCTCAAATACAATGAGATCAGTGTTCCAGTTTCCACTTCCAGACCAATACGCAATTCAACCACGAATGTGTTGTTGATATATAGTATCAACATAGTTGCTTCAAGGTAATTCTCTCAGTCATTCGACTCTATCCGAATACACAACGATAATCAGTCAGTACTGGATGACTATATCCTTCTAGTTTTTGAACTCTCCTTTCTTCCATACATGATTCGTGCATTCACAAATTTCATAACCACTCTGAAATGTAATACTCACTGGAGTGAGACGAAAGATGGAATACAGAATCCAATCTCCCTAATCGTCTTCAAATGGTAGAGATAATGAACAATATTCTACAAATAACAGACGGTTGACTTTAACGCTGACTCATTTAATGTCGCCGTAAACCATGAAACGAAGTTAGACATAGTAGCCACATTTTGTTTATAAAATTTCTACCTATATCTATCTATGCAGTTAATTTTTATGATTAGTTAAATACGACCTATTACATTTCACTTACTCCATGAAAGCTCAGAACTTGTTCGAGAAGCAATGAGGAACATAGTATGGATATATATATATATATACTTGTAAACAAATCCACACAAACCTCGTACTTACCAATATCAATTGTCTTTCTAGCATTTATCGCATAACACAAATTTGATAGAAGTTGCATTTCTATGCTGGAGAAAAGCATAAATGACATTGGATCTTTCATAGTCTCCTACAATACATTTAAGGAAGATGATGATTGTGATGATTACTTGTAATAACCACTTTTGTGCTTCAGAAAGACGCAGTGAATGATCACATATATACCGATGAAGTTTGTCTGCGCATTTGGTACAACCATATTCGGTTACTGACTTGTCGTTGCTCATTTTACTCATTGATATGATTAGCACTGAATATTTATTGATCAAATTAATATTCTAATAGTAGTGGTTTTGTATGAGAAACATGTTAAGTTATCCGACTATACATTCTATGATTATGATTTAAACCCCCCTTATCTGTACAAAAACAATTTGTCGTAACCTTGGATTTACCTTGGTAATCTTTAAGTCGCTCTATGGCTTAGGATAACGCGACAATTTCTTACCCTTTCTCTTCCGTTTTTTTATTTTAGCTGAACTTTCATTTAATTGATCTTTAAAAATTTTCATATAAAAATGCCTTGACAAGTATATGTGTGATCATATTGTTTGAAATGTAAATCAAATTTTTCAGATAAACTCCGTCTTCTCATTGTTCTATCCAAATTTATAAAAGGAACTAATTGCTTGAAAGCAAATTATTGTAGTGACCTACTTTTATGAAGAGAACGCGATCGGTATAATGGAAACAATTATTATTATAAACAACTGTACCAGTGATTGTTTTAATGTACTTGTTTGTTTAAGTTTGCAACCACATTTGGTTACTGAATTTAGATCGGTAAGGTCGGTCATTTTTGCAATGCATTTAACGGATAAATGGATTGATAAGTTTTCGAATTATTAATAGTGACTTATAGTGAAATTCTTGGCAAGTATTCTGGCCTACTGCGTGATTAAACATTGTAATGTTAATATTCACTCTGAATCTTGAACATGACGTTAATAACCACAAATTTACACATCTACTGTGTTACACTACTAGCGACCTTTCGAAAATTGATCACCCTGTAGCTAAGAACAATATCAAGTCATCTGCTCAATAAGCCTGTACGTTGATAGTAAACAACCAATGAGAAAATTCTAAAGCCTTGAAAATACTGATAAACATAATACTCATTCAATAAGCTCGTGGATCCCATGATTCAGTGGATGACAAGCTGTTTATAGGGTGGCGAGTGCTGGATTTCAGCTTCATTAAGAATATGGTTAATATGATGCACTTATTTTTAGCTGAATTTTGATAACAAGAACGAAACCCTCCTGTGTAGCTACTTGTAATTTGTGATTTGATAATCCCTTCCGAGTTGTTGTGTTATACCTAAACACAGATAAAATGGAAAATAATTCTTGATAATTCAGACTGGTTTGTGCATTTACCCTACTAATTAGACTATGCTGTGCTGTATATAAACTTTGGTGACTAATACATAAGTGACCAAGATTCTCACAAAGTACTGTGCTGGATTGATAAATTACGCTTCTGATTTGTTTTTTTTCAGTAACTTGAATAAGTCATGCACTCGATATGGGTGTGAAGGACAGTTTGACAATTCGAAGAATTAAATACATTTATTCGATTGAACAACATGTTGGCCTGAATTGAATCAGTCTACGTGTATCCAATGTGTAAAACATAACATCTGTTTGGTAACTTAATTTACGGAAATAAATATAACACTTCATCAAAACGATTTTCCTACCACATGATACAAACTAGTAAAGAGAGCATAATTTATATTGTTATTCGTTCGGTTTTTCAGCTGCTTTCGTATGAATAACTAATCTACAATGCATGAAACTAACAATCTAGTGTTAGTCGAACAAGATGACAAACTAATATGGAACAGCAATCCAAGTGCGAATGCAATCAATAGTCATTTAAATTTCACAAACGTTGCTTACATAATATAGAACACTATAATCGTGAACACATCTTAGTCAGTGCATTTCGAGATGGACTAAAAGTGAACCCATTAAAACAAAAAATATTATAAAAGGGAATACACGAGTTAATTAAGTAAACAGGCGGTTATTAGTACGACATATATGAACTAATTGAATTTAGTTATTACTGAACATTAAACGTGAATAGAATTAGTCGTACTTTCATAAGGACGATTCATTTGTAAAGAAGTATTCGGTGGTGGCTTTGTCGTTCTGTAGTGCTTATTTAAATATTAGGATGCAAGTTCGGATATATCTGAGAAACGCTTCCGAAACAATCATGTATGTTACACTAGTTAGTCTTGACATATTATCTCAAAACAGGTTTTGTTTTTATGTGACCAGATGCATCATTCACCACAAACTGGATACTTCGCTCAATATTCCCTACAGAGGTGCTGCAAATGTTATAAATACTTAACGCGAGACTCGTTATCATAGAGACACAACTGTAAACATTTTCTGCTGCGTGATATTTCAGTCTCAGTTTTGCCACTGCTTAAACATATAATCACCGTCTAGCAACGCGTAAATATTTTAGCTATTCAGCCTAGGTTCCATGATTATCAAAGAAAAAGTTCTCCCATACTCCACGATAAAATGTCGACGTGTGTCAAGAATCTATTCATCAAACTTCTGTCAACGTCTCATATAGATAAACACCATTTCCTACAATACAATTTTCGGATATAACACTCACCAATTGTCAGCGGTATCAAATGAACCAAACTGCTTCCTACAAAAATGTTGTTTCAAGGTCACTGAGAAGTTGACTTACACACTTCGATGCTGTAAAACAATTAATTTTAGGTTTTTTAGCAAAGTAATCAGGCTTGAAATTTAATGACGGAGCGTGACTCAAAAAAACAAGACGTCACTGGTTGTCATAACAGCTTTTACAAAAAGATTAATCATTTTTCACACGTGAGTCATCCAAGAAGGAACCAAAGACCAGATATGAATAAGTTTTACAAAATAGAACAAAATGGGAACTAAGAAAGAACTCAGGCAAACTGCCTTATCAGTTTCACTCCTGCTTCTGCTGAAGAAAGGAACTGAATGCTGGATATGAAAGATGCGTAGTGACTCACTTTTATCACGAGAACGCGATTGGTTTATTGAAAACAATTATTATTATATCCAATTGTACCAGTGACTGTTTTAATGTGCTTTAGTTTCACTGTGCTAAAAACATACATTATTCTTACTCTTTGATTGTGGCCTCGCGCGAATTCGGTTACGTCCTGTAACCAATCTTGTATTCTGGCACGATCTCGGTATCCTTTCGATACCACGAGATCGCCAGCAAATATATCTCGACTTGGTCCTTCAACTGCCTTCTGATGTTTGGCTTCCGGGGGATTTTATGGAGTCATTTGGCACGCGTTTCTTGGTAGCGGTGTTCATAGTCAACCTGACTCCACGCTACAACTATCACGTCGGGCTCACCAGCTGTAGCATGGAGTAATGGATGTTTTTAGCACAGTGAAAAAAACGCACATTAAAACAGTCACTGTTATAATTTTTTTCAATAAACCAATCGTGTTCTCGTGATAAAAGTGAGTCACTACAGATGTCTGTGTGGATCTCAAACTGTCTAATCGCACTAGGAGACAATCGACTTAGGCAGAAATAAATAGGCCTCTCTGGAACGGTGAAAACAATTTTAGACCAATAGGTTTCTACATGGTGATCTTTCTCAGCAAACTGATTGCAAAACCACGCTGAGTGGAACAGGGAAGCATTTCACGGTGTAAATCACCAGCTCAGTTGATCTATGTCGAAATGATTGGAGGCCTAGAATGTGAAATGTTTGATTGCAAAAGATTACGTCAATCAAAGAGAAAAGAATGAGAGTAAATAGTGATTGGTATAGAAATTGTAGATCACCGACCTAGATGATCTATTTCGAAAAGATTGGAGGCCTACTTGACATAGACGGTAATGGTGTGGCGAACCTGGTAACGTCTAAGTCACACCTCGTGGTTAGTACCTTACGTAGATTACCCCATTGACTTATCAAGTGGATTCTCACTGGCCTCGCAACGGTATTAAAAGTACGCTATAGGAATGCTTGCAGGCCACTAGATAAAGTAGAAACGCACAAAAACGTAGTCAACAGAAAAAATTCCGGTGTCATTACTATCCCAGATAAATGATTAACGTCAGGAGTGCATGATGCTGGAATTTGAGTGCTTGGTTTAAAACTTCGTGTGTCTGACGGAGTAAATGGCCTGGATAGTGAAGTTATTCTTCACACAGTATGCACCTTAATCATACGAGCTTTCACAACAGTGGCACACGACCCAGAAATGTGTGAGCCAGTGCACTGCCGACCAAAATGCACTGGACAAGACACTGAGTTATTTGTAGCAGAATGTGAAGTGGACCGCTCCGTTTTATTTGAAATTCAGTTCTAGCCGAACGAGTGCGAATTCCCCATAGTAGGAGATTTCATTGCACCCTCTATAAACTGAGGAAACTTGGAAGTTCGATTACCTAGAACACAGATCTATCAAAAATTGTTGAAATCCACAACTGCATCGGCTTTAGTCCAGCGCACGAGATTCCACTAGATATAAACTACGAATATCCTCATTTCTATTCAAATTAATCATCACACACGGTGATAATGTCAGTGGAATAATTTTATTCAATTTTATGTGTTATATAGTCTATCAAGTCGATGTATCAATCTTGACCTGACTTAAAGAACTAGGAAGTGAAGGTTATACGCACTTCAGCCACGACAGAAGACTGAAAAATCCATCCACAAAAGTGAAGGCGCGAAACCGCTACCGGGAATCGCACAATTGATTGATTGTACCATTTATACTCTGAACAGTCGTAAAGAAGAATAAACACGACCAACCCTCAACAGACCAGGGAACTCGACGTTTATCAAGTAAAATGATAGAGAAGTTCAGGAAGATGCAGAAGACATAGAAAACCATTCCGGTGTGGTTTCCACATATAAGCCTCTTCTAGATAAAGAATGGACACAAAATTGGCTGCTCATTCTGGACTCAGAACGAGACAATTTTCTCGAAGACCTGAGGACGTACAGAAGACAGATACATGTGCTATTGCAGAACTTCGATGTTTACCATAAAATAGCATCATGAGAATCTATGCCTCTTTAACTTATCCTGCTGCAGATGAAGTGGTGATCTGATTTTGACGTAAAGAATACCGGGAAATAACTTTGAAGATTAGGATGAACCCGATATACTCTCTCTATCCTTTCTTAATAAAGGCCAAAAGCTAAAAGGATATAAGTGGGATACAGGCTTTCACATTGAGTCGCTATCTCTTGGAAACTTACTCAAAGATTCGTTGACCGAACCATAAGTTGGATTAGTCAGTAGACGTTTAGACGTTATCAGAAGCTCGATAGAAAAGGATAAACACTGGCAATAGGGTTTCTGTCCTTACCACCCATATCTGAAATTTGAATCTGAATGTAAGTCTTTATGTTCTGATTATTCTTAACAAACAAAATCTTCTGCTATTATCCGAGCTGAACTGTATTTTCAATTAAATTATTATTAGAAAATTGGTTTGCGCTAATACCGGTTTTTCACTAGTTCCTGATCCTTCGGCAAATACAGGGAGAAATTTTATCAAATGATCTACACATTAAGGATAGACATTTCAATTGAGAAACACTTT